TGTCCTGACGAGCTATTAGATGAATACCAGAATGTGTCACATGAAAAACCACTGATCTTTAACCCAGTTATCTACTTAACCAAGCCTAGAAATGAATAGTGAATAAGGGAAGAGCAAAGGCCAGTTTACTGTCATTACAAATTACAGAAACTGTTAACATCTGCAGCAGAATGAACTCTGGGAATTACAGGTACTATGCAGTAAGTCAGTTGAGAGTACAGAGATTTATAAAACTATCTATACCTATATGAGATTACCAACTCTGTGTGTCATGTGTGTATATTGTTACTATTGAAAATTTGAACATTTGCATAAAAAGGCATAAAGATTTTCTGAGTCTTTTTCCAGTTCATGTAATGAATCCTGAGAATGAGCACCAAATGTAAGGAATGTTCCTTTAGAAGAATCAATTGATAGTTATCATTAAATAGAAACATGTAAGCACTAAATCAACAGAAATAATAAATCTGGGCTCACTGTTTTATTCCCCCCCCCCCCCCCCCCCGAGTAGTCTTGGGGACACTGCTGAATGTACAGTTAATATAAACATTTATACTGAACTCCTAGATGTTTGAAAAACAAATAATGTAAAGATCAGTAACATTTTAAAATGATCAGTTATGGGAATTAATGCTTACAGAAAAGCACCATTCTTTCTTGCCCTGCTAGTAGAATCGCATTGTCTCCCTGCAGTCTTGTTAGCTCATACTAACTGAAATGCAAATTCTTTCCAACTAATTGGACCTCGTTGAACGTACATGTACAGTACGTAGTTATATGCATGTAGTTTTTTTTTTACTAAATTCCTCTGTAATTATTTTCTTGATTAATATCTAAAGCAGAGACGTGGAAAAAAAAATCTCCTTAAAGAGTTTACATATTATTGAACATTAAGAATATAGTAACTGTTGCATGTTTTAACAGCTTAATTAATAATATAGAATAATTGGAAGAAGAAGAAGAAAATATTTTTTTCACTGTTAGTCATTTTGAACTATTTACATTAACCCTTTGACTGAATTACTTAACACTTAAATGACCAGAATAATGGAATTTAGAAAAAATAAGATATGCTTACATTATATAGCACATTCTGCTGGAGAGCTTTTCTTACTTTTCAGGCATCACTTGGGCTTTCCGTAATCACCTTTCCTATCCATTCTTGCTATATGTTGCATTTCTGTATCAGTAGTTTTAAAAGGAGAGACAAATTCAACAATGTTGTATTTTTAAAAGATTCACAAAAAGGTTCACATGTAATTGTCTTTCATAGTAAGTAATAAGTATTAGTTAAAATGAAAAGAAAGAAAAAAACCCTCTTAACCTCACATACAGTTCACAAAGCACTTAAAATTCTCAAAAAACACAAGTAGACAACTGCAACTGCACTCTATTTTAAGTTCCGTTAGAACCTGGATTCTGTAGCCACCTCTTCTATTCAGCACCCGGGTATTCCCAGGAGCTGAAAATGTAAAATAATTTCACAGATCCTTTTATCTTTCAGCACAAATGCCATTGGATAGCAGTGAAATACTTGCAGAACATATTCATGATTAAAAATCTATTGAAAATGAGATTTTTTTCTTTTAATGCTTTTAAAAGGATTTGTTTTAAATGCTGTTAGAGCCCTTACCTTGTCTATACTGCTTCTGATTCTCATATTAGTTAGCCAAAGGGGAGAGAAAAAATAAATACTGTTCTACTCAGTTTGTGCCAAACTTGTATACTAACAAGTAGTTCCTGTGCTTCCCATAAATTATTTGAAGAATATGTCTGCCTGCAAAGGAATTATAGCAATTACCAGGGGTGATAGACTACAAAGGAACGTACTGGGTTCTAAGCCTAGGTTCTGATTATTACAGTACCTGTAAAATTTCATATCAGTTTTGTTTCTTTTTTTTTCCTTTCTCCCCCCCCCCCACTTTACAGTTACAGGAGTCTTAAACTGCTACTGTAGGAGGTATATTTCTGTTGCATTTTCCCTGTAATGATTACTTTTATCTTCTTAGTGACTACTACTTTTCACATACCTCTCTGAAATTCAATAAGTATTTCTTTTCTTGGTTTTATATGCTGGCATATTGCGCCAAACAAGATGCTATGTAGGCAGCATAAATTTAAGGATGAAGTGAGCTGGGCTGGAACTGGCAGACTAAATTTTGTTTCTTTTCTGTCATGTTACTTAGTGAAGGTGGAGATATTTCTTTCTTTAAAATGTTCTGAATCTGTGATGTAGAAGTCACGCATCTGACAATTAAATGGTAGTCCTCCTTTGATGCAGTGATCTGAAGCTGCTTAGATTTCATGTAAGGTTGTAGCATTCTGGCCAAGATTTCTGCTTGGGAAGACTAGATTTGGATGTATTAGCTAGTCAGCCTAATAACCTTGTACAGACTGTATTGATTTTCTAGGAGAGAGTTTATGAACTAAATAAACTTTGAGTTGGTGTCTTAATAAACTGCTTCTCTCAGTCTGTCACATTTCGTTACTGAGCTCTGCA